ATACAAATTCCAGTGTATTTTGGTAGAATGATTTATTTTCCTTTGGGTATATACCCAGTAATGGGATTACTGGGCTGAATGGTAGTTGTGTTTTAAGTTCTTTGAGAAATCTCCAAATTGCTTTCCACAGTGTAAATTCCAAACTAATTTACATTTCCACCAGCAGTGTATCAGTGTTCCCTTTCTTAGCAACCTCACCAGCATCTCTTATTCTTTGACATTTTAATCAAAATGTCAAATTTGAATCACCACTGTGACTGGTGAGAGATGGTATTTCATTGTGGTTTTGATTTACATTTCTCAAAGATTCCTTGATCTGTATGTCTGTTATGCCAGTACCATACTGTTTTAACTACAGTAGCTTTGTAATATTTTTGAAATCAGGTTGTATGATGCCTTTAACCTTGTTCTTCCTGGAGATTGCTTTGGCTATTCAGTGTCTTTTGTGGTTCCATATGAGTTTTAGGAATATTTTTCTATTGTTGTAAAAAATGCAATTGTGATTTTGAACAGAATTGCTTTGAATCTATAGATGTATTTGGATAGTATGCATATTTTAACAACATTAAATATTCATAAAAGCATAATTACAGAAGCAAAATTATATAAAGTGGGACTACATCAAACTAAAAATCTTCTGCATGGCAAAGGAAATGGCAGAGTGAAAGGCAACCTATAGATTCGAGAAAATATTTGCAAATAACATATCTGTTAAGGTAATAATGTCGAGAATATATAATGAACCTCTACAACTTAATACCAAAAACAAAAAATAGCCCAATTTTTAAAAATGGATGAAGGACTTGAATAGACATTTTTCCACAAAAGACGTGCATGTGGCCAGTGGGTGTACAAAAAAAATGCTCAACATCACTAATCATTAGGGAAATGTTCTAAGATGTTACCTAACACCTGTTAGGATGGTCATTTTACATATATATCCAGAAGGAGGAGAAGAGCCATCCTCTCACTTTCATTTATTACCCTGTTCCTTAAAATGAATATATCCATATATATCCATACATATCCATATATATAAGAATATATCCATATATATCCATACATATCCATAGAGAAGGGATATATCATATCCATATATATGAGTGATATATATGGATATACTGTTGTCCATATATATGATATATATGGAGAAGGATATATCCATATACATTCATATATATATGATATGATATCCATATATATTCATATATATGTTTTTATATGATATATTCATATATCCATATATATATGGATACAAGATATATCCATATATATCCACATATATGGAGCAAGATATATCCATATATATCCATATATATATGTGATATGATATATCCATATATATCCATATATATATGGATATGATATATCCATATATATCCATATATATGGATATGACATAATCCATATATATCATCCATATATATATGGATATGATATATCCATATAGCATTCATATATATATGGGATATGATATATCCATATATATCCATATATATATATGGATATGATATATCCATATATATCCATATATATGGATATGATATATCCATATCATATCATATCATATCCATATATATCCATATATATATGGATATGATATATCCATATATATCCATATACATATCTCATATATATCTATATATATGTTGGTGAGAATGTGAAGAAATTGGAACCCTAGCACATTGTTGATAAGAATGCACTATGAAAAAGCTGTATAGAGCTTCCTCAAAATTTAAGAGTAAAACTACGTAGCCATGTTACCCAATAATATCACTTCTAGGTATACAGTATATCCAAAAGAATTAAAATTAGTATCTTGAAGAGATATCTGCACTCCCACATCAATAGTAGGATTATTAAGAATAACCAGAATATGTAAACAACCTAAATGTACATTGACAGATGAATGGATAAAGAAAATGTAGTATGTACATATGATAGAATATTCTTCAGCCTTAAAGAAAGAATATTCTGCCATTCATGACAACATGAATGACCCTTGAGGACCTTAAGCTAAATGAGATAAGCCAGTCACAGAAGAATAAATGCTTTATGATTATACTTACATGAGTTATCTAAAGTAGTCAAATTCATAGGAACAGAGAATGGTTACCAGGGACTCATTTTCAATTGGTCAAGTTTCAGTTATGAAAGATGAATAAGTTCTAGAGATATGATGTACAACATAGTACCTATAGTTAGCAACAATACACTGATCACTTTAAAATCTGTTAGGAGGGTAGATCTCATGTCAAGTGTCTTACTTGCCCTCTGCTCCCAAAATAAAGGTCCTCAAGAAAACCTTCATAGATGATAAACATGCCTACTATTTTCATTGGGTGATGGTATTACAAATGTATGCATATGTCCAAACTCATCAAATTGTATGTATTGAAAATGTGCAGTTTTTTTGTACATAAACTATACCACAATAAAGCTATTGTAATAAATCTCCAATATAGCATCTATTAATGGTCATCACTCAAACATAATTTGAAGAAATGCAAATTATAATACAAATCACGACATAGCTATTTGTTTTGAACAAAAAATAAATATAACAACAATTAATCTTCTTAATTTAAAGAAGAAAAATATTTAGTGTAGAATTATTCTGCGTGTTGCTGGTTTTGTGTCTTCTTAGAAATGTAATAGCAGGCTGTATATTCAAGATCCATTTTCCTATAAATAGATTACAATGGTCCATTTTTTTTTAAGTATTTACCTGTAACCAATTGAAAATATACTTTCTGTCATGTTCTTCTGATAAAGTAATTCAAACTTTTTACCAGCCCTGAAGATGGCATTGTGATTATACATCCCTGGGTTCTACTACTGACCTAAAATAATATTAATCTCCATGTATAACATTAAAATATATTCCCTTATTAGCTTAAGGGAATAAATGTGAATAATCAAAATTTTTCTTTTGTTAGTGTAGGGCAAATTAAAATTTTTCTGCTTTTTAAAGTTATGAAACAATAGACTCAGAAAAAAAAATTCTTCAAATACAGGATTTAAGTATAGAAAGTTGTATGTACATATGTGTATATAAATTCTTGGAAATGTTGTTAAAATCTCTTATATGTTAAAGCACGTGAGAATGGTCAGATAAAATCTGACCTCCTTCAAAAAATCTAATATTTATGTGAGGGTAATACGAATACAATACTTATCTTCTTTGTTTCTGCATTTTATGTTGAGTGTTGAGGAGCAAATGAATTGTCTTTTAGAAAGTGGCATTCTGGCAGTGGGCAGCCTGTCTGCTACTTAGTGCTCTATTATTTCTCTATATCTATTGTTATATTGTCCTGTTAAATGTTTAAAGAAACATTAACTATTGCATTACTGTGAGATTTTTATCAAGATTCTTAACATTGTTAGAATATTATTCTTTAATTCTGCCTATTCCTCCACAATATTTTTCTAGCACTCTATCTATACACCACCTTGAGGTCTTCTTTTTTTTAACTGAGGTATATGACACACGTAAATATTAAGAGTATTATCTTACTGTCTGTCAGGTAGCTTGTGAATATATTTCCAACAATCTTACCTTTCTTCTGAAAAATCATCAGTTTTTGCCAGAGTTAGATTTTTAATTTTAAACCACCTAAATTTTAAAAATATTTACTATAATTTTAGCTTTAAAAAGACTTTCAGATCATGACTTCAGTTATTATATTTTATTCAAAAATTTTTATAGTTTCTAATTCTCATGCAATTTTTATGCTTTTTAGTATATTTGGTATATAGTATAAGAGGAATGTATACTGTGCCTCTATAACTATCCAAATTGCACAACCAATTTTCATGAAATAAATGGTCCTTTCCCACATTACTTGAAACATCATTTGAATAAGAACCACCATATTCATAGTTAGTTATATATATTTATGGTTCATTTTGACAGCAATAAAAAACCTTAATCAGATAAATATCACTCATCACCATTAATTTCCAAAAAATTTTTATCATGCATGCATACATCCAAGAGAAGTATATTAATTAATTAATTAATTAATTATGAATAAATTTATATTTAAGGCATGAAAGTCACACATAGATTTTATGGGCACATAAAATCCTTATTGTTTTCCTACACTTCTGAGTAATGTAATAAAATAAGTATTTTACAGGTTTATTAACTACAAAATTAAGACAGTTTAGCTGGATCAGCAAAGGTTTATCTGCTCAATTATTAAATACATAATATATTCCTTTTTGAAATATCAAAGGAATTAAAAAGTCTGAACTGTGTTAGAAAAAATATATTGCAGGCTGGGCGCAGTGGCTCACGCCTATAATCTTAGCACTTTGAGAGGCCGAGGCAGGCAGATTACCTGAGATCAGGAGTTTGAGACCAGCCTGGCTAACATGGTGAAATCCCAACTCTACTAAAAATAAAAAAAATAGCTGGGCATGGTGTCGGGCACCTGTAGTTCCAACTACTCAGGAGGCCGAGGCAGGAGAATCGCTTGAACACGGGAGGGAGGCAGAGGTTGCAGTGAGCCGAGATCACACCACTGCACTCCAGCCTGGGCAACCAGAGCAAAACTCCATCTCGAAAAAAAAAGAAAAGAAAAAATATATTGCCAACATATTTGTATACATTTCCTATTAATTAATTCAGCATATCTATTGAGTGCTCTATGTGCCAAACATTGTACAAGGTTTGAAGTATAAAAGAACAATCAAATAACAACATTACAAAATTAAAATGATTATCCGGGAGGCGGAGCTTGCAGTGAGCTGAGATCTGGCCACTGCACTCCAGCCTGGGCTACAGAGCGAGACTCCGTCTCAAAAAAAAAAAAAAATAAATAAATAAATAAAATAAATAAATAAATAAATAAATAAATAAAATGATTATCATAAAAGCAAGAGTAGACTCACAGTTTGATGCAACAGTATGAGCAATTCCAGGAAAATATCCAAATATGTTTGCAGATAAAAATATTTGCATAGATTATGAAATATTTAAATTGCCTATTAAATCACAAATTATTTAAATATTAATTTTTTACTGTATGATAAATATAACATTAAAATCAGTGATGAAAGAATAGTGAATCATCTAAACAGTACTCTGGCAGGTGAACGCTGAATTGAAATATATATAGAAAGAAATAATTCTGCCTATATATGTATACACATGTATGTGCTTTAACTTTTTCCATCTCATCCTAAAATGAATTTCAAATGAATAAAGATAATTTCAGTCCACTTAAATGTCAAACATTTGTTCACTCAATAAAAGCAAATGACCTTTAAAGGCAAGTTGCTAAAGAAAAAAAAAAAAAAAGGCAAGATGTCCAAGGAAGAATTTATAAGCTTAATATATAAGAAACTCATACTAAGCAATAAAATACAATCAAATGGGCAAAAGATTTTTATATAGGTTATAGGAATAACAGCCTCAGTAAACATCAAAAGAAAATAACTGAAAAGAATAAAGTAAAAATAATCAGTTATCCAAATTATCAAACGTTATCTAACATTGGCAAAGAGTGATAAAATAGCTTGCCATAGTTGTCTAATGCAGTGTTCTATAGAGCAATTTAACAATTTTACTTAAAACCACAAAAAAGGTACAAACTCTTTGGCCAAACAATAATAATTCTGTACTTCTTCCCAATAAAAATATCAGCAATGTTCCAAAATTCATATATAATGATGTTCTTCCCCATATTATATTTATTGTAAAAATTATAATCAAATCATCTAATAACAGAGGCATATTTACACAAATTATAAAATAGCTAATTGCCTTTATTACTTATAACATTTAAGCAAAACACATTGAAACACTGAGAAAGGAATAAGGAATTGTATTATATACTAGAAACTTACGGGCCAGGAGAAGAAGAGTCATTCTCCCACTTTCGTTCATTATCCTCTTCCTTAAAAGATACGCCAATTCAAGTCTGACTTGCTGAAAGTAACTTTATGATACTCTGCATGAAGATAAAACATACAAGATAGTTCCTTAATACTCAATGTGCATAAGGGATGAAAAGTATGCAACCTGTGTCAAGTGAGAGGTAAAGAATCTCAAAAATAATTCAGTCTCTTGTCTGCTGATAAATATCAAAAACATATATTTCAGTATTGCAGGGTCTGTCCATTTATCAAAGCACACTACCTGACTTCATAATATGATACAAAGCCATAGTAACCAAGACATGGTGCTAGTATAAAAACAGACACATAGACTAATGAAACAGTATAAAGAATCCCAAAGTCAATCCACGAATTAAGAGCCAACTCATTTTCAACAAAGATACCAAGAACATACATTGAAGAAAGGGCAATCTCTTCAACAAACAGCGGTGGGAAAACTGGATATGCATATTCAGAAGAATGCAGCTAGACCTTTATGTCTCCCCAAATACAAAACCAAATCCAAAGGGATTAGAGACTTACCTGCAGGACTTGAAACTATGAAACTACCAGAAGAAAACACTGGAGAAATTCTTAAGAACATTGCTCTGGGCAAAGATTTTTTGGGGTGAGACCTCAAAAGCACAGGCAACGAAAGCAAAAATAGACAAACGGGATTATATCAAGGTATAAAGTTGCCGCACAGCAAAGGAAACAATCAACAAAGTGAAGAGACAACCTACAGAATGAGAGAAAATGTTTGCAAACTATCCATCTGATAAGGAATTAATAACCACAGTATATAAGAAAATTAAATAAGTCAGGGACAAAAAAGAAAACAACATGGTTTTTTTAATGGACAAATGATCTGGATAGACATTTCTCAAAAGAAGACATACAATGGTCAATGAAATACTCAATATCACTAATCATCAGGGAAATGCAAATTGAAACCACAGTGAAATATCATTTCACCCCAGTTAAAATGGCTTTATGAAAAGGATTTAAAAAAGAAACAGATACTGGTGAGAATGCAGAGAAAGGGGAACCACAGTACACTATTGGTGGAATTAAGATAGCCATTATGAAAAATTGTATGGAGATTACTCAAAAAAAGTAAAAACAGAACTACCATATGATCCAGCAGTTTCACTACTGTGTATGTATCCAAGAGAAAGAAAGGAATATATCAAAGGGATGTCTGCACTCCCATGTCTATTGCAGCACTGTTGAAAATACAATATGGAATCAACCTAAGTCCATCAATGGATGAATGTATAAGCAAAATGTGGTATAAAATACACACAATGAAATACTATTCAGCCATAAAAAGTGATGAAATCATGTCATTTGCAGCAACTTGGATACAACTGGAGAACATCATGTAAAGCGAAATAAGCCAGGCACAGAAAGACAAATAATCCATAATCTCACTCATATGTGGGAGCTAAAAAAGTAGATATCTTAAAGATAGAGAGTAGACTGGCCATTACCAGAGGCTCAGAGAAATTAAAGGGGACTGGGGTCAGGCAAACAGAGGTTGATTAATGGATACAAAAATATAGTTAGAAGAAATAAAATCTAGTCTTCAGTACTTCTGTAGGGTGACTATAGAAAACAATATTGTATTATATATTTCAAAATAGCTAGAAGAGAAGAATTTGAACGTTCTTAGAATACAGAAAAATAAAAACTTGAGGTGATGGCATTTAACTATTCTGACTTGATCATTACACATTATTTTAAGGTGTCAAATTATCACATGTACTCCCCAAATACATACAACTACTATGTATCAATAAAAAAAGAAAATATGGTAGAAAGGAAAATATAGTAAGTGTTCAATAAGCATTAGCAATGCTGCTGCTATTGCTTAAAATGATGATGATGATGATCATGACGATGACGGTGTTTTTCCCTTTGGTACATTCTAAGACATCTCCTGTAATCATTTTCTTTCTTTGTTATTATTAGATTAAATTTCTTACGTTTAGATTGTGAATTCTTAGAACTGCTTATTCCCTTCTACTCAAATATGCAGAGTAACAGTTGTATATAAAAAGAAAGCATTATAATAAAATGCACATGCAAGAACTTAAAAAGGAAAATAATCTGAAATTATTCCATATAGTTAAATTCTTACATACCTTATTACTCAACAATTCTACTCATAGGGCGATTTGTGATAAAGAGAAGACAGGACACATGAAGAAGTCTTTCACATAAGACATGTCGAAGAATGTTGCATGAAGAACTAGTCATAACAACAAAACTGAAAATAACCCAAATTCCCACCACCGAAAGAAATGATAAGGTACAGCTACACTATGGAATAATCAGACAAATAACTAAAATTCCTGGAATAATCAGACAAATAAATTCCATTATCTAAAATATGAGAATCATACCATCTTTTCTGAAGATTTTGTGCATTGAAATAATGCATACAAAAATCTGAAATATCATAAGCATAAAATCACTGTTAATTATTTGTAATCATTACTCCAATTGGCATATTTTATTCACTTAAATATTTTTTATGCATTCAAACATGAAGCAATAAAATATTTTCTTTCCTAAAGCAATATATTTGTTCTTTCACTGTCTCTTCCACATACACACACACACACACACACACACACACTATACTGTAATTAAAATCTATATGACAAAAATTATAGTTGTTTATATTTTAATACCATGGGTATTTTAGAAGCAGGTTAAAAATGTACTTTATTATTTCTAGGTCTCTAAAGAAGCACTAAAATTACATGTTCATTAATACAGTCAGATATTACTGCTAAATGTTAGGAGTGTACATAAATATATGAAAGGACACTTTTGTTTTGAAGTATCAATAGATCTAAGTCATTGATTTGCCTATACTCTTAGGCTTTACAAAGCAGTAAAGGACTCAAAATTCTAAACCATTAGTGTGGAAAAAAAGTCGTTCTAAAACAGTTTTTCACAGGGTTTGTAATGTGAATCTATGTGCAGATGTTAGACATTGATGGCAAAGCCACAATCAAACGAGATATTAGAGCACAAAGTCCAGCCTTAGCTCTAATAAAGCTTAGAAGTTTGATAAATATCAAAGGGCTATAATAGTTCATGGAAATACGGGGATGACTCGGGTATAAGCAGTTTCATGGAAACTCTAAAGTCCAGTAGCTTCAATAGCAAGAATAAAAACAGAAGCAAACAAAATAGGAAATCATAAGAAAAACTATGAATTACATATAAGTTAAGTAAATTTCCTGAGACTACAACAAAACTCAAACCATTTAGGAGCTGATCAATAACAACTGAGGCTTAAGTTGACTAAAGTACTTAAATCTTGATTTTTGTATTTTTTTGATTCCCTCCTCTATTGCTTTATAAAATATCTATTTTAATGAAATAATTATAAATAAGCAAACCTAAGCTAACTAATAGTGTAAGGAAAGAGATAAATATGTTCTCAATAGCAAGCCACAAATGAGTATTTAAAGACTGTGATGATAAAGTCCACTCTGAAACCTGAAGTGTATAGTAAAAGCTAGCTATTTTAGGAAAGTGTGAGCAATCTAAAAGTCATAACTTTTTGGTATTCAACCTTCCACAAAACAGAGTGAGCTCAAGATTTTCTGAAAGAACCTTAAACTTGAATCTAGGAAGCAGTTCTAATCCTTGGTATGCCACAAATTAATTGTATGGCCTTAAGAAAATGACTTCTCCAGTTTCCTCATGTAAGTAACCAGACATTAAACTAAACCATCTCAAGAATAATTTTTGAGTCTACAATTTTATGTTAATATTATACTAAAACAAAACCCAGAGGGGTAAAGTTGACTTTCAGTCTGTAAAACGTATCATACTGCCAAAGGTGTTTGTATTTTTATTTTTAGATCCAACTTTCTTATCCTTTTAATTACACTGTGTAATTAGTATGTATTGCATAACACATAGCCTGGTGTAGTGGTGTGAGCTTGTAGTAGTGGCCGCTCAGGAGGCTGAGGCAGGAGAGTCACTCGAGCCTAGGAGTTTCAGGCTGCAGTGAGCCGTGATTGTGCCAGTGCACTCCAGCCTTAGGGACAGAGTGAGATCCTGTCGCTAAAAAATATTTAAATAAATAAAAAATAAACATAATACATACTATGTCTATAACTATATACTGTGATTAGTTAAATAATGTATGCAGTTTTGAAAAGAGTATAAATTTGTCATCAAATCAGGACTTAGAACGAAGCATCTTTCAATTAATGGAGCTGGGAAAATTAATTAACCATCTAGAAAAAAATTAGTCTTTCCTCATACCTAAATAGATTTGAGTTATTGTAGTTTCCATATTTATTGATTCTTCAATATCCACTACATTCTCTTCCAGATTCATCTAATCCACCTTGATTTGGTTAAGGAATTAGAATGGGGCCCAGTTCTTACCAATGAGACACAGAGGAAGTCTGCAGCAGACTTCTAGGAAATCATTTCTTTCTTTAAAGAAAAAAGACAAAAGAAAACATGATCCCCTTTCTCCTCTGGAGATTCTGTGCAGGCTGTGATGCCTGGAACTGCAACAGCCTTAGGTTCCTGAAAGTCTTACTGCAACATATTTACAGCCAACCCTACTCCTGGACTTCATGTTTATTATTTTTATCAGTTCAAGTTCTTGAAATGATGTTGCTTTCATCTGAAATACACAAACAAATAAAATTACATTTATTTATATACACATATCACATGTATATACATACATGTATATATGTTTTTATAGAGTATTAGAATGCTACTCTTTCTCAAAATATGTTAAATATAAACTAAACTTGACTGTTATTTATGATGTGTTATGATGTATCCTAATTTGTATATTATGATGTGTCCTAATTTAATGATATGAAAAATTCTGATGTTCAAAAATTAAAAATGAAGCTACATTGATATTATAGTTATATTTCATTTTTTTAAAAATCGTACCTAGTTTTCAATCTACCTCAAGCACATTACCAGAAAATATTTCACCTCTACCACACCAATAAAGATAAAGACAAAGACCTTCTTTAGAAATTGTCTATCATTCTCCAGTCAGCAATTTCTAGATATTTGAATAAATTACACTGTTATACCCAATGACTGCTGTTGATATCAATGAATGATAGAAAAGAATTAAAATGCTTAAACCTAAAATCTAAAATGGAATAATGTTATGATTCTCTTTCAAAATCTTCCTGAGATTTTTAACTTTTTCCCTGAGAATAGAAGGAGGAGGAGAAGAAAAATGGTTCTTCAATTACTAAAAGTGCAATCACAGGAGACAGTGAAATTTGAAAATATGGTCATGGTTTTCTCTCCAGATCAGTGGGATCATCTGAGTCCTTAACAGAGAAACTCCATAAGGATTTGATGCTGGATAAATGTGATAATTTATTCAACAGTGTAATTTATTCAGTGAAATATTTTATTGATTTGTCATTTACATATACTAATTTTCACCTTAAGAGTACAGTTGGATGAATTTTAACAAATGTATACAGTCAGTATCCACATGCATAATCAAGATATAGAATGCTTCCATTCCCAAAAAGTTACCTCATGCCCCTTTGTAGATAATCCTCTCACACTACCCGTTTCCCTGGCAACCACTGGCAACTACTAACACAATTTCTCTATGTTTGCCCTTTCTGCAAGCTCACATGAATGGAGTCATATGATATACAACTGCTCAATTATGAATTATTTCTCTTATTAGAATGCTTTTGAGATTTATAAATGTTTTGAGTATCAGTAGTTCATTCCTTTTAACAGCTGAGAATTGTTCCATTGTCTGAATTGCTATTCATTCACCAGTTGGTGGATATTTGAGTTGCTTATGATTTTTGGTAATTATGAATAAAGAAGTCATAACATTTACATCATATGGATTGTGTGGATACATGTTTTCATCTCTCTGGGTAAATACCCAGTCGTGATTTCTGGGTCATATATTAAGTATATATTTAACTTCATAAGTAATAGCCAATTGTTTTATGAAGTGGCTGTACCGCTTCACATTCATATGAAGGTTTTTACAGGTTCTACATCCTCGAGAGCACTTGGTATTGTGCATCTTTTTAATTTTAGCCAGTCTGATTGGCTGTATAGTATGTCATTGTGATTTTAATTTCATTCTCCTAATAACCAATAATTTTTATACTTTTTTTTGACATCTGTATATCTTTTCTGGTGAAGTATCTATACAAATAATTTAATCATTTTTAATAATCTTTTATTTACAGTTTTCTAAGAGCTTTGGTCTTGAACTTGGGGGGTGGGAAAGTGAGGATCCTCCGGAAGGCCTGGGTGACCCAGAGGGGCAGACATGGCCCTGAGGCTGGCAGTTGGGAGGGAAGTGAATCAAGGACCCTCCCCTCCTTGCTGAGGAAAAGGTATTTGGCTCAGTCTCCTGCCCCCACTCCCTTACCTATGAAGAGATGGGGTCCGCCTCTCCTCGTCTCTTTCCATGGCCCAGAGGCCATTCCTGGTTGAGCCTCTGGAGGCAGCTTTTGCTGAACCCATAAAGGCTGATCATGATGGCACAGGACAGGGCAACCTAGAAGATCCTCAGGAGGAGGTCTGCAGAGTCCCCTGGTGCCCCACTCGCCTGATGGAGTCAGTGTGATGGGCGGAACATCACTATCACAGCCTCCACCACTCCCAGGGCAGCCTGCCATTGAGTCTTCACCACGTCAAAGGGTAGTGTCAGGACCACAGTCACCATCCCTGAGACTCCAGCAGCCACAAAGTTGAGGCCTGCTTACCTCTAGTCCTTTGGCATTCAACCAGCTCTTCTCCAGCTCAGAGTTGGACCAGTGCAGGGTTGAGAAGGGCACATCTTGAAGGGCAGTGGAGGCCAACCCTGCCACAGGGAGCACTAGCCGCCCTGAGCCACCACAGGCAGACACGGGTGCCGAGCTCATGGCAGGCCACGTGCTGAGCCTGCAGCTGTGTCCCCACAAGCTCCGACCACCAAGGGTGCGCAGAGATCAGAGGTCAGGGCTCTGTCACACAGGACGGCCTGGAGTTTTGTCGTAAGCCAGTGAAGTAGATGGTGGTGGCTAGCAGGGTCATCACCAGGGTAGCTAGGAGGCTGTCCCCAGGTTTCCTGGTGCCTCACAATCTTCACAAAGGCACCCATGGTGCCAGTGAAGCAGGTCCTGATGGCACAGCGGATACCATTTGGAGACAGGTGCGGGGGCTCCAGGACACCACTGCAGCACAGGAGGCCCCGCCCTGTGGCTCGGAGGGAGGAGGGCGATTTGGCTTAAGAGAGGTCCAGGGTCTGGAGCGAGGTGTCAGTCACAGCAGGGCACTGAGAGCGCAGGCGGACCTTCACCATGTCCAGGGGTGTCCTGGAGATGGAGGTGACTGCTGCCCGAGGCCACCACTTGTTGGAAGAGGCTAATGCCCTCAGGTCCTGCTCAGCCGTCTCCTGGCTTCAATCCTGCCTCTAGGCCTGGCAGGCGCGGGGGCGCTCGGGGGCACTGCAGGATCTGCGCATGCTCACCTCCTGGCTTCAATCCTGCCTCTAGGCCTGGCAGGTGCGGGGGCGCTCGGGGACACTGCAGGATCTGCGCATGCTCACCTCCAGCCAAAACCCACCCTGAGAGCATTGCCGAATTTGATTTGCTGATATTTTGTTTAAAAAGATTAGTTCTATTGAGGGAGGATATTCGTCTGCAGTTTTCTTTCCCCAACATGCCTGTCTAATTTTTATATCAGAGGAATTCTGGTCTCATCAAATGAGTCGGGAAATTCTCCTTCCTCATCTAATTTCTGGAAGAGTTTAAGTGGAATAGGTGTTACATTGTCCTTAAATGTTTGGTAGAATATACCATGAAAGTGTGGGTTTTCTTTGTGGGAAGGCTTTTTAACTGCAAATTGAATTACTTTAACAGATATAGAACTAGTTAGGTTAACTATTCCCTCGTAAGTGGACTGTGGAATTGTGTCTTTCAAGAAATTTTTACACTTTACATGTTATAGAATTAATGAGCAGAAAAATACTTAATATTCACTTATTATCCTTTAAATATCTGTAGCATCTGTATTACTTTTCCTACTTTTATTCCTGATAATGGTAATTTGTGTCTTCTTACAGTTTTGGGGAATAATCCATTTTGCTGACATGTTAAAAGAATCAGCTTTTGATTTATTTTTCTCTATTGACTTCCTATTTCCTATTTCATGGATTTCTGCTCTTAACTTTATTATTTCCTTTCTTCTGTTGGATTTGGAATTAATTTTCCTTATGTTTTAAATTCCAAAGTTGGAAGCTTGGATAACTGATTTTAGACCTGTCTTTTCTAAATAGCATTTTATAACTTCTCTCCAAGCAGTACTCCAATAGTAGCAGAATTTTGCTATGTTGCACGTCTATTTTCATTCAATTCAAAATATTTGCTAATTTTGACTAAATTTCTTCTTTAACCTATGTGTTATTTATAAGTGCATTTTAAAATTTTAGCATATTTGGGAATGTTCCAAATATGTTTCTGTTGTTGAATTTTTAGATTTATTTGTGGTCAGAGAACATGCAATGTATAATTTAAATTATTTTAAACTTTTGGCAAAATATGGTCTATCCTGGTGACTGTTCTATGTGCACTTGAGTATTTTTTTCTATTGTTGAGTAGGGTATTCTATATATGCCAGTTATTTCAATTTGGTTGATAGTGCTCTTCCAGACTTTTTATATCCTTATTGATTTTTCTCTAAATATTCCAGTAACCACTGAGAGAGGTGTGTTGACATGTTTGACTATAACTGAGGATTTGCCTATTTCTTCTTTCAGTCCTGGCAGTTTTGATGCAGGAGAATATGGTCAGGAGACAGGGAACCTAAGATTGATTCACGCTGACTTCCTAGAACTGAATCAAAAGGAAAACCCCACTTCTCTACACCCAAGTAACAAAAGGATCAGGGACTACTCCCTTTGCAACATCCCCCACCCCTTTTCTGCATTGAAGATGAAAAATGAAAGTATCTTTGATTGGTTCCCTCGTGAAACCAATTATACTGATCACAGGTCAAGTCTTCATGTGTAACCTTGTAACTTTACTTCAACCTCTGATTGGTCACCTTATGCAACCAATCAGACTGATCACAGGCCACTACTTCATTTACATAGGGTGTAAACCAAGTAACCAATTGGAAACCTCTAGAGGGTATTTAAACTCCAGTAAATAAATCTGCTTCTTTTTTTTTTTTTCATTGTTTTGTTTGTGCATTTCATCCAAATATCTGTTCAAAATGCCAAGAATCTGGACACCCTCCACCAGTAACAAGTAACAGTTTTGGTTCTGTGTATCTTCAGATCTGTTATTAGGTATATATACATTTAGAATTGTATGTCATCTTACTGCTTTTGATCTCATCAACATTGTGTAATATTCTTTATCTCTGTTGCAGTAACTGACAGAATTTTCTTTCAGTATAACAAAAATGTCACTTTGTCATCTTCTGATCTGCACAGTTTCAGATGTGAAATTATAATTCTTATTGTCTCTAAACTCTTAGATGACCTGTTATGTTATTTTTTTAACTTTTTTTATTTTTGGTAGTTTAGTTGGGATAATTTCTGTTTATCTTCAAGTTCACTTGATTTTTTTTCCCTATCCTGTGTCCAGTTTTTCTAAGAAGTGCATGGAAGGAATTCTTTATTTCTGATGTCATAGTTTTATCCTTGGCGTTTCCATTTGACTCTTTTTAAAAACATAGTTTTCACCTCTGAAAAATTTCAGCATATATCCATGCATTTTTTAAATATTTCCACTGTTTCTTTGACATATTAAAAAATTAAGTTTCTCACCGATAATTTCAACATCTTGAACACACATATCTTCAATTTTTTCAGCTAATATTTCTTTTGGCAGGGGGTCCTTTTCTTGCTTTTTGTGTGTTTGTCTCTTATAATTTTATTGAATGGCAAACAGTGTATGTCAGGCCAGCATGGCAATACCTCTTCCGTAAATCTGCAAAGTTGGGGTGTTGAGCTAGTTTATGTTTCATTGTTCCTGTGCTCACCTTTAGTACACCACAGACTTCAAATTTTCCCGGTGGTGTACTGCCGCTACCTTACACTTCGTGCAGGGTCGGGGGAGTGGGAGGGCTTTTCTTAGTGTTCTGTTCTGATTTCAGCAGACCCAGGACAACTGCAGTGTGAAGGAGTTCTCTCTCTAAGCTCTCGCCCCTCCTCTCTTGTGGCTTGTTATGTGAAAATAACGATAGTATTGGGAGAAACAGAAATTCTAATTTATTTTGGCCTATTAGTCTTGGGCAAGGCCTTATGTGCCTTGGCCTCAGGAGTGTGGTTTCCTCAGCATTCCTTTCTCCTCCTCCTCAGCACCCAAGCTCTTCTTGTGTCTATGGGGAGTCTTGGGCAGGAAAGAATTTCTCCTCTGCTGGCATAGCAGATCTCTGCCTTGTGTCACTGTGGGATCCTTGACCCCAGAGGGTTTCCTGCTCCTCTCTCAGTTTGAACATCTTTTTCTTCTCCCCTTCCTTCAACAGCAGAATGTTTTTGTCTAGGATCAGTAATGGGGGAGTTTTCTGCCCCTCTTCAAGCAGTAGACTGTTATCGTGTGTTGCTTGGTGCAAGGTTTGTGGTGGGAGGTATGGTGGTTTCCTCCTCTTTTCTCTGCTACAAAGAAATTTTGCTTCTAGCTTTCTCTTTGCATCACCTTACGTTCTCTATAGACCAGGAGAAAGAGAGAGGTTTATCCTACCCTTCCCCCAAGGGAAGAAAACTTTTGCTTATACTGCTTCTCTAAAAGCACTCAAACTTTGCCTGATTCCTGGGAGCAGGAGGGTTTGTTGGCTCTCCCTAAGTATCTTAAAGGTTTTGCTTCAGGTGAGACAAGGCATTGGGAAATGCTGAGGTTTCATGCCTAGACATCGCCATGGCTAAGGGGCTTTCTCTGGCTCTGCCCTGCCCCAGGCCTTCTAATGAGCTGCCACTTGAGGCCTGTGGAAAAGACCTGGAGACTCCCCTTGCAGCTAGGACTCTGAGTGACCTATGAAAGCCCAACTGAGCTTAAGACTTTGTTCAAAATTCAGCTTTTTAATTTTACTTTTATGGCTGCCATCTTTTCCTCTTATGCTCTACCAAAAATGAAACCATCTATGAGTCCCATCTCTCCTTAGTGGTGCATGTCCCTCTTGTAGTTCAGTTTAAGTGGTTGCCTTGTGACCTCAACACTCTGATATCCTCAAACAAAGTTATAATTTTATACATTATCTGAATTTTTCTTGTTGTCAGATGAGAGCATTATCTCTGTGACTTTTTGTTTTCTAAGCACAAGTCCGAGAAAGATGATTTTTTTTTTTTTAATTCAACTGGTTCAGTTTCTGTTAATACATTATTTTTGAGTTAACATTATAATATTGTTTTGCTGGAATAAAGTCCTTTGTAAAAATATATTTCTGGATGATTTTCAATGAGGGCACTCTACTAAGTGAACTGTAAGCTATACTTTATATAATTTTATTTCATATGTTTATAATAAGAATCCATGACACCTTTTAACTTAAACATTGAATCAAAATCAGGCATACGAAATTAATAGTGATGATCTTAAATTGATTTAAATACAGTTGATACTATTAATCTGAAAATAACTTTGGAAATTGAGGAAGGAAACATGAAAGTGTTCAAGTCTTCACGTTTTCATACCAGAAAAACAATCTTTATTACAAGTAAAACATATTTTTAAAAGAATAAAAGTCTAGTGGCTTCAAAATCTTTGTAAAAATAGTATTTCTCTTAATCTTAAAAGGGAAAACTTAGGAAATAATGTCTTATGTTAAAGAAATATTAATTCTAAATATTCATTTAGTTTAATTTTCTGTATTTTCTACTAGATCCTGCTAACATAAAATTTAATACTTTCTTTACAATTAAAGCATAATATGTAGAGTATAATCCTATTTGACTAAATGCATTTCTGCCTTAATATTCTACTTATTCATCTGTATATATATCCAACTATAATACATTAATAGATTGTATAATCACAATGACTATTTCTTGGTTACATATAACATTTTGGATTTAAAAAATTTTTTCCTTTGTAATTATCTGCAATTTTAAGTTTTAGTATAGAATCTATAATGTATTTTAAGAAGCAATTGTTTGTTTAATTAGACAAGCTTTTTAAAATTTTAAAATGGCTGGAAGAGTAATTAAAAGAATTTTAAGTAATCTTTAAAAGAATTTTTAAGTAATTATAAATGGTGAAATTTGTCTTCTTTGTGCTTTTATGTAACTATTTCTAATAATAATATTTCATTCTGGCTTCCAGATATTTAATCTGCACATGTCATGCCTTTGAGAATATGGTACAAACATATTTGTAAAATTTCATATGTCATATGTATTATGAGGCAGACACATAGAGAAGAGCACACAATAACTGGAGGGCATTGTAGAGAAACTCCAGAAATGTGTTCAATAAAATATAGCACCTTAAAGCAAAACAAAAAATAAAAATAAAAAATTTAACTCTTGGTGATTCTGAGATAAAAACAAACAAAACACCTGTGTATTTGTATCATAGATCAATTCTACATCATCTTTGATTGGAGATTAGAAGTAAAATCTAAAACACATACACACTAAACACACTCCTTACATATATATACTAGTATAATATTACTAGTGCACATTTAAATATATGTTTAATATGCGGATATATGTTTAATACATAATGTATACCATTTGAATTTAATTAGAAAATAGTATATGTAGAGGGAAATCAATCTCTTAAAAAGTGGTGGTTAGTATTAGCAAAAGGCACACAGGGCTTAATAAATATTTGTGGAAAGAAAGAACGTATGAACAGACATATGTATGAATTAGTATCCAAATCTAGAGAGACAGAGTTATAGGGATAACAGCCCAGTTGTTTTCTTATTCTCAGGGATTTTCCCTCCCTCTCATTCATACCCCAGCCAGGCCCTCTTTGATGATAATTTGCAAAGAAAACACTGAAGAGTCTGAAGTAAAAGTTCACTTGTTGAACCCGATGTTTTCCCCCAGGCACTGGGAAGGGGAAGGCAGAAAAGCAGAGTGCAAAATGAAGTGATAATGGATGCTAACAAGAGAACCCTTGAACACAATGGGATAGAAATAAGGTCATGCATTTTCTACTCTCTGTCACCTGTGAACAACTTGCCACTTCAACAGTTCTGGTCACTTTTAAGCTCCCCCGAGGAGAAGATAGGAAACTTGGACACCCTGTGTGGGACTGAGAATCACAAAGGGACAATCTCGCCAACTGGTCAAGACAGAACTGAACCGAACTCTTCGTTCACAAGTGGGATTCTTATAAGAGGAAGGAAAGCAGACACCATCTGACACTACCCACATCAGGAAGAGGTGAATCTTAATGAGGGAAGAAAACAGATTCTATTAGGGGAAAAAACATTTAATCAGAAAATAAGGCTCTGGAAAGAAAAGGCCAATTGGGGTTTTGTCTAAAGAAATAACAGAATATTTTTCTGCCAGAGAAAGCAATTCCAAGGAAGGAATTTTCAGATTGACTGAAGAGTATTGGTCAGCATCATTAGTACTTTCAGTGAGAAATAATTGAAAATAAGCCAGAGCAAGCGTTCCCCACGTGGGAACTCTTAAACAGTCACCTGGGAACTGTTAAAAATGCAAATTCTTGGACTCTCCACCAGAATCACTGAATCAGAAACTCTGAAATGAGACTCAATAATCAGTAGTTTAACAAGCTCTCCAGGTGATTCTTATTCCAACTAAAGTTTGAAATCCCCTGGTGCTAGCGCTGGAAGCAAATGAGTCACAGTTGTGAACAATCTCTACCATTAATCCCCTGGGTGGGATAAATAAAAATGAGAAACTAAAAAGTTAAATGATAGAGATTGACCATAGTTCAAAAGCAAGGCTATACCTGAATATAAAATTCTTTCTTAACCTAGATACAAAATGGGAATATGTTTAATCATTTATATAGCATCTCATTGGTTTTTTTCCAGCTTAATTGAGGTATGATTGACAAACATTATATATATTTAAAATGTACATGATGTTTTCATATACATTGTGAAACAATTACCACAATGAAGCTAACATAACCATGACCTCACCTAGCCACGTATGTGTGTGT